CCAGTGACAGTCACACATCTCTGCAATAACTGTTTGATTGCAAACTTGACCCTTTCTTCTTCTCAGCCTGAGCTAGACATTTTTAAACAGGCACTCCATTCCCAATCCTCCTTTGCAAAGAATTACATCAGATAACAAAGACTTCTCTGCCACTCATTGTAAGCCTTCTTCTGGAGATCTGTTCTAAGAGGCACTGTGTAAAAAGGTTTTTATGATGAATTCAGAACTACTATCATGTTAAGAGCACCAATTTATAAAGAAGAATTCATTGGTTAAGATCTGAAAAAATAGTTTCTCAGGCCCTACTGACCCAGTTTTCAACAAAAAAGAATCAAGTGATGCAAATTAAGTTTTGAGACATTGTTATGCATTCTGAGAAATGTGTAAAACTGTGTTTTGCAGTAATTTCTTAATAGAAGATTCAATGACTACTTAATTCTCCCCTACTCAAAAAGTCTTATTTCTTTATATTCTACAGGTTTATTTTTCACAGGTAGTGATAAAATACACACTTCATAAGGATGAAAAGTTCCAACAGTAGCATTGCAATAAAATTTAAAGTACTAAAGAATACTGAGATTTCATTCTGGTAAAATGCAATACTCTCTTCCTTTCATCTGATTAAGAAGTTATAAAAATGTGCGCACTTTCCATGATAGGATGTATGATACTGAGAGCCTTCCTAGACCTACTAGGAATGAACTAGAGACAATCAGATATTAATTTAAAAGGTTCAGTTTTCTTCAATAAAAATGAACATGCTTCTAGCACCTGTTACTGCACATATTTTACTTTAATTTTTCTACGCTTTGATATAAATACATCAGGTGTCAAAATAAGCCACAATTTATTTAAAATGTTTAAGTTAAAAATAATTTTAAATTAGTGGCCAGAGAGAGAACAACACTGCAGTGTTATCTTTTGCCTCTGAAGACAGGAAAAACTTCCCACAACAATACATTGAATGAACCAAAACACTTGGAATTAAAGTTTTCAGGGCACTCAAAACACACCAACTTTCACATGCATTGTTTTGAATCCTCTTCAATCTCTATCAGTTCAACCTCACTCAGAAAGCTCTGGGGCTCTTTTTTCCCTAACTTTTCCAGATAGCCCTGGAAAACTTTGGACATAATTTAAGCAATCTCAGGATCTTTTATTTCTGATTGCTTTATGGCACTGCAAAACAAAAGTGATGCTTTCTATATTAAAGAGGAACATATCTGTGTGTGAGCCCTCCAGTGTGTAGGATTTTAAAAAGTGAAAGTTAGAAAAATAATCTTTTTTATCCTGCCATATTTTCAATCCTTTTAGAGCAATCTCAACAACTATGTATAGTATGAAATTAGCTCTCGCCTGTTACCCTTGTTCCTACATACAATTTTCTAATGTGTCTCACCAGTAATAAATCGTAAACGAGGCTATGACTCTAAGAGCAGACAGTGTGTTTCATGGGTATTTAAACAACAGCATTAAGTACTATAGGAATCTGTGGAATGTGGAGTGCAGATTTATGTGTCTTAACAATTTCTTTACTGGTTTGTAATAAGCCAGCAAACTAACACTTTATTTTTATACTAATTTGGCCTCAGAAGTAGAGTATACTGGAGCATGACAAGAACAACAAATATAAACTGGCATATACTTAATAACTGTAACAGTGAATTGCCTCCAATACTAAAATATTTATCGAAACTGGGGGGGAAAAACTAAAAAGAATTACCCTCAACAGCCTGCTACCAGCTCTTTAACAGTGGGCAATATAATGCCTTAAGGTACCTCAAACTGTCCTTCATTTTCTAGACTTAATGGCTGATTGCAGAAATCAATGTTGCCATTAGTAACAGAGTATTTGTTATGGCATGATTTCCTCTGTTGTTAGGCTTGCAGAATGATTACAGTATTAGTGAGGTGCTTTCTTTATAAAGGGCTGAAGATATAACTTTCAATTTACTATCCATTAGTAAGTGACTTTGGAAATATAGATGAGGCCAGAAATCTTACCTGTTGTTACTTGGAGATTTTATTTCAGCAGTCATAGGCTAGTAACTTTAAAAATTGTACCAGGAAGCTCAATATTTTATAGACATCTCTAATGAAATATTATCTGCTTTGCTATTTTATGCACAGCAAGTTAATATGACATACAATGCAATTAAAATGTTTCAGTCCAGTTTCTATTTGATTTGCACTTTCAAATAGATGTGAATTAAGCAGCAGGCTTCATACATGTTAAAATGGTCACAAAGTTAAAATATTGCCAAAAAGTTAGTAATTTGTATTTTTTAATCTCTTTTTCATCAGTCAAGTGGCCAGGCACAAGTACATATCTCATCTAAGTAATTAATATGGGTGTGGGCAACCAGAGAGGTTAGCTAATATTCTGTTCATTAATCTTGTTTCTTTGAACTATAGCTCAAAGGTTACATCTTTCCTCACCTTTTTACATGGAGAACATGGAATGATCTGCAAGAGAGATACCATGAATAGGAGGAAAAGAAAACACGTTCCAAAACCTGGAGGGAGAGGCCCTGGAAGCAGCATTGCCCTTGGTGACTGTACAGACCCGGCAGGCTGCTGCCAGTGGGGTGGCAGAGGCGACAGCAGAAAGGCTAGGAAACCTGCCCTTGGAGGGGGAAAGGGTGAGCTGAGAATTAACCTCTAAGGCATTGAGGAAACCCAAACACAGATGTTCTGGCATGTAACACCACATCCCTGTGGACTGCTAGGAAACGACCTAACAAGAGAAAGCATAAACTACTTTGCTGCTGTGATTTCAAATATAGCTATGAATCTTTCAGTGCAGAGAGGGAAGAAGAAGTTATCATACCTGAAGAGGAGGGTGAGGAAGGATGTGGGCTGTCTTCCTGGGCACTCCCCGTCTGCGAGAGACCCCCACCTACTCCGCTTTCTTCAGTAACGTTAGAGGACCCCGGTGTTGTCGACCTGCTGACAGACTGAGACTCCTGATCACTTCCAGACCCACGTCGCTCATCAAGACTACCTTGAATTATTTCATCTTCTCCTTTCCTGTCTCTTTTGTGGACCCTGGAGTGAACAACCACTTGGTGGTATGTTCTAAAAACCCTTCCACAGTCTGGGCATTCAGTTGGCTTTTCTTTTACGTTTCCATGACTTTGTAAGTTATAATCGAGTCCCTGGTTCATACCATGTGACAAAAAATCTCTACTGCCTTCTAAAGGGTCTAGTTTGTTTGGCAAGTCTCTCTGATTGCCCATTTTAGTGCTGTGAACCAAATCAGCAGGCATTTTCTGCTTAGAGCCATCTGCTCCTACTAACACATACTCCCGCTTCTCCTTATCAAACATAACTCCAGCATTTGCCAAAGTGTCTTCATGGCTGCGCTGTATCTGCTGCTCTTTAGACAAAAAGCCATGTTCCATGGCCATTCCCCTTGCCATAAGCTGCCAGGCCTGATAACTGTTTACTGGATCCATCTCTGCTGCTTTGGCAGCAGCTTGTAACCTTTCTATACAGCTGGATTTCAGAGGAGGCACCAGATTGAGACAGCCCAATAAAGAATGTTTATCCCCTTCAGCAATACTGTGGCCAATGCTAGAAATGGGTGAAAGAAGCTTCCCCAAGACTTCCTTCTCTTTCATGGGCATATCTCCTTTGTTATAGATTTGATTTTGTTCACTTAAACTTGCTTTGTCAGGAGGAAGAAACCCACTCTGCAAACATGACAGGTATCTTGAGTATAAGTTTGCATGAGCTTCCTGGGACATGCTGCTGATGGAGACAGGTACTTCAGGATCATTAGGCGATTTGTTCTTTACAGATAACTTATTCAGGTGAACTTTCATGTGATTTTTAAGAAACCAAGGCTCTTTGAATCGCCTCCCGCAGATCTGACAGCAGTGTTCAAAGGAATCCTTATGCTTTCTCATGTGACCTTTTAGGAACCAGGCTTGGCTAAACACTTGGCCACACACCTCACAACGAAACTCATTGGTGGATTGCTCCCCATTCCCATTGGAGCCCTGGCCCTGTGCTGACTCTGCAGTTATGTGGGCCTTCTCCACGTGGCTAATCAGCTCCTCCTCCTGCGAAGCAGCAAAGTCACACAGGGTGCACTTGTAAGGCTTGTGCAGGATCCTTATGTGCCTGTCCAGCTCTTCTCGCTTCTTAAACTTGCCTTTGCAAAATGTGCACCTGAACCCAGCTGTCTGAGCAACAACTTCTTCCTGGACACTGACCGGCTTTGGAGAGGGAACAGGGTTTGAAATATCAGGTGTGCTGTGATTAGCTGGCACAGACAAGTTACAGTTTGCGAGAGGCATTGGCTGGGTGTGCTGCTGGGCTTTCACATCAGGTCGTGGCTGCAAGAGGCTGCTCTTCATCTGTTTGTCCCGAAGAATTGCTCTCTCCTCCAGCTCATGTAAAAGTCTGTTTTCTTCTCGGACTCTTCCACGACCTTTGCCAAGGTTTCCAAGCTTATGAGTACGCAGGTGTATCTTCAAGTTGCCTTTCTGAGCTGCTCTGTGGTCACAGTATGGACACTTAAATGGTTTCTCTCCAGTATGAGTTCGCATGTGGAGCGACAGGATGCTGTTAAATCGAAAGCGTTTCCCACAGAGGGGACATGGGTACTTCCTGTTTTTCCTGGCGTCATCCTCTATATCACTCATCTGAGACATAATCCCTAGGTTTTGTCCATTTAAGAACTGCTGCAGATCCACACGCCCATTCAAACTAGTATCAACCTCTCTATTGAGCTGGTTTGCCAATAGTGCCATCTGACTGCTGATGGGCTGGTTTGCTATGGACATGTGGCTTTTGTCTTCTAGCGGTGCTGACGCCTTCTCCTCTGGATTCTGCCTGTTCTGGAGCTCCGGGAAGGCATGACTGAGCTGGGAAGTGATCTGGTGCAGCTTCTGGCTCATTGAATACTGCCCATTGAGTATGGTGCTGTTGAGATGGGTGTCAGTCTCTGGCACAGCTGAAGAAACACCAAGGCACAAACTAGCTTCCTCCATCTCTGAAAATCAGAAGATATTTTAGATTCAGACTGTGAAAGTGTTACAAGCATTGAATCACTGAAGTACCATTTGCATTTTGTTTTACCTACTCATAATAATGCAAAAGAATTACTCTAAAAACAATAAAAAGTGTATTAAATGCCAACTGTGCTATGAAATTTTGATCATGCATGTGCTTTTATTATTCTGCATGTTTACCAATAACCACTAATTACTATTTTAAAACATGCTATAGTTGAAAAAATCTATTTATTACAGAAGGGGCACATGCTTTTACCACTTCCCTTGTCTTTCTTCTTGTGAAATTGCACCTGTTTACCTTTCTAAATCTATAGAAAAAGAAATGTTATGCATCTCTCTCATTTCCATTAGAAAAGCCAGGAACAAAAAAATAGAAATCCATTTGTAACTTTCAGTTCCATTAACCATATTCAATATATTACACATTCTACAATGAGAAAGATAGTTTTATGATTTGACAAAAAAACCCGATGGTATGATATTTACTGGTGTACAATAAAACATGATAATGTTTGGGGAAAAAATAAAGTAAAGGACAAGCTTTAGAACAATAAAAAGGATTTTGCTTTAGTCAACAAAAAGTGCAGTAATATCTCATTAAGCTGATTAGTATGCTGCTTAGAAACAGTACTAGGTGCTGTAACACATGATTATAATCATAAAAATCCTTCAGTGTTTGCAAGTAAGCATTAACGAGGTATATTAAATTTTAAGGAGACTGCGACTAGCAGCTTTGTAAACCTCTGAGATTAAGATTTAACCCTTCTGTTACAAAACATTGTAATTTTGTCATTTTGAAACTGAGCCCATCAAAAGGCACATACATTATCTTCTGCCAAGTCTTTTAATTCATCTTTGAGAACCTTCAGATTTCAGTTCTTAGGAAAACTTGCCAGATTATAGAAGGAATATCTCTGTCTTTCGATGGGTAAGACACGTGATTTAAGGCACTTTGATTTGTTTTAAAGAGCTCTCTTATGGAACTAGATAAAACCAATTAAAATCTGGGGAAGGTGTTGTGGAAAGCCTCAACAAGTTTAAGAATTTTAATAACTTTCCTAATAAGCAGTAATGACTACAAATTGTACCTACACTATGTATAGTGCAGAAAATTCGAATTCAAAGCTGTTTGTTAAACATGAATGCTCTGTTCTGGGCTGCATAATTGTCCACAATAATCTTCTATCCTTGCCACTTCTCTGCTCTACACAGAAATAATATATCTATAAAATTATATTTAAAACACAAAGTTTTACATTAATAACTCTCAAACTATATGACGCTATAAGGTTATTCTAGAACATAATTAACATCTATGTTCTTCAGTGGAGTGATTTGACACCTTATTGACTAATAAAATTACTAAATTCTATATGTTATTGAAAAATTAATATGGTCAACTTTGTTTTGCTTTAGCCAAACACATTTACTTGCTATGTCTTCTACAAAGGCTACAGGCACACTCCAGGTGGACACCATTCCTCACACAGCTTCATAGTGGCCACTTGCTAGACAATTTGAGGCCCAAATCTGGCACATACTTCAAATGCATGTAATTGTGCTCATGGGAGTAGTCCAGTAGACTTCAAAGGGTGATTCTTAAAAGCAAAGTTCCACACATGCTTAAGTGTTTGCAGGATCAGGGTCTAAAAAAAAAAAAAAAGCATGGGTGGTCTCCAAAAGAAGATCTATTTGGTCCTTAACAGGATGACTGAGGTTGTGATGCAATGCAGATCTTGTAAGAAGTAAAAGGGGAAATGTATGTTTATGTGAATTAAAGATGAACGTGAGCTACAAAATTTTGTTCAGATGTAAAGCAGATACTTTTCAAATTTAACAGTGCTCAGATTCAGGTTTCATGTTGGGCACCCATTACTTACATACTGTCAACATTATTATTTATAAAAATATTAAAGAGATCAAGTATATAAAAGGAAAAGGCTTATACTTAGAAGCTATGGGACTGCATTTAAGTTGCAGTGTCCAGTTTCCAAAGGTAGGAGAACATAGTCAAGCCAGATGTTCACACAAGGCCATTAGTAAACAAATAAAATTCTTGGTTTTCATGTAAGTTTTCTGTGCAGTAAACCACAGTCATTCAAAATGTGGGTACATACAGACATGTTTTTAAAAAAAATTGAAAGTTTCCTTAACTTTTGAAACAAACTTAATTTCATGATCAAAAGTATTAGCTAAACATATGAGAACCATAGTGCTTAGGACTTCAAAAAAACAAACCAAACCAAATCAAAAAACAACAAAAGGAAAACCACAGAACCAGAACCTTTCTGCCTGGACTCCACATACACAGGTGCTATTTCTCCTCATCATGTTTAAACACAGCATGTTGGCAAGCAGTAACATACAAAGTCAAGAAATGCATTGCATGTACAGACACACACATTGTCACAGTTTGACTCAGGATCAACAACAATAAATAAGAGGGTTTATAAAAAGTCTTTGTGAATTGTCCTTATTCTATCATGGCTTGAAAAATGCAGTCTAAATTTCATTTATTCTTTTGACCTCAATGGGAACTGGTGCCTTTACATGCTCAGGAAGGTTTGGGTAGTTAATTTTAGCATTTTTATGCTCTATTGAAGTTTGGAAATGCTGACAGATCCCAGTGGAGTTTATTAATTCTGATGTTTAACCCTAAGCATCAGTTCAAACGTACAGTTGTTTGGATTGGATTGGAGAGAGGGAGCTGTGGTTGAGATTTGAAGTTATTCTGTGGCTCTTTTTCAAAGATAACTTTAATAAAGTAACAATAGCAGTTGTACTTAGAACATGATAATCTGTTTTAATTTTTTTGTTGCTGTTTTCTGTCTCACCAAACATACAGACACGTATAATGTAGAATATAAATAAGAAGAGTCAAAAAAATCAAGAGGAAGACCAAACCCATAATTTTTCATTTAAAAACTAATAATTTTGGATCAAGTCTGGGGAGCCTTGCACACCCACATCGCTCTTTTGGCATTAGGAAGTTTATCAATTCTTGATTAAATATGCACAAAGGTCAGCAAAGCCTCTGTTTAGTAAGAAATAACCACCTCTAAATGACACCTACTCTGATATCAGATGTTCAGTTTCTAGGATCCAGTCACCACAATCTGAAGATGCTAAAGTTCTTCACTTAAACTGTTTTGCGACCCTCACTTGCCTCAGCTTCTAATAGTCCTGTTCCTGCCTCTGAATTGTCCCTTCTTTTCCTCAGTCTTAACTAGTTTTATTGCAAAGTATAGCCATGGCACTCCAAGTAGTGCCATATGAAATTTCTCCTCCTGCAATTCTCAGTTATTTCATTTAGGAACACAGAGACCTTGCTACTGTTCAGCTCTCATGTAAATCAGACTCTCAGTATTCTTCAGCTCATTCACAGCAGAACCTACCAAAATCTCCTCTTGTATTCACATGCAAGACAGAAATAAAACTCCTACTCATCTATCATTCCACTCTGAATTAGATAACCCAAACTAATTTGCCTAATTTCTCTCTTAAAAAATTAGCAATTTCATTCTATCTCTCTTTATTCATCATCCCTGTCTAGATCTATGACCAGACATGGTTACACCAGGTGGGGTAAGGGACTTTAATTCCCCAGTGAGCCTCTTGCTTCAAACCTTGCAGTTTAAGGTCCCCACCTCGGTGTCATGGTGGTCATTGCACATCCTCTTCCATTGAGTAGGACTCTCTCTCAGAGTCTGGTTGCTCTTCACAACACCCAAGAGGTGCAGGGGTCCCTCTGCATCACAGACATGCCCACAGTCATGCTGTCCTTCTGCCCCCCATGGATTTCTCTATTGATACAGCCATCCTCCTCAGAATGAAGTGCAATTTTACTGTACCCATTCTGGCCCAAAACCCAAATGCTAAAAACACTAAAAAACCCCATCTGAATGGACTTCATTAAAATTTACCTTCTAACAGATAAGCAGTTTGTAATATCAAGTGTTTTGACAAAATAAATATTTTCCACAACATAATCTTCATTATGACCTGCCCCCTTCTTGACATCCCAAACCAAAACAATAGGCATTCAAAAATAAAAAATTTGGAAATGTTAATTTATGAGTGCTGCTGTGATGCTTCATGGAAAGGAAAATGTCTAGCTTTCAATTTTTAAATATATAGTCCATGACGTTATTTTCATGAGTCTGATCTCTCTTATGAGGAAAACAGAACATTTTGCCATCACTCGTACTGGGAACAGAATCACAATGTTCTCTGTAGTTAACATATGTTTACAAAATGAACTCCAAAGTAAATTCGAGTGTTAAAAAATTCAGAATATGTTTCTTGAAAATTATGTAGTAATTTTTTGACCTTTAATTATCTCAAATGTTTTGTAAAGACAGCATCCCGCAAGACATGGCACCATGCAGAGCATCTTGGTATCAGGAGTTGCTCACATGCTGCCCTTCCTAACCTCAACAAGCCCTCAGCCCTTGCCCAAGCCTGCTGCTTCAGCCAGAGAGCTCAGTGTTCACCCTGCTCCAGGCCAAGAGCAGCTGGGTTTGCACTGTGCATGGCAGGGGATGAGCAGTCCCTCAGTAAGAAGCCAACAACCTGTCCGAGGAGAGCCATTTACTGTGAGCAGATTCCTAGCTCCATGAGGAGGGTATTCAGCTTCTGAAATTCACAACTGGATACATATATTATAAAAATACTCTCTCATCTTCTACATGAAGGTACAGCGAGACATTCCAGTCCCTTTGATGATACTAATAGTTATTTTGATTTCGCTCAGATTTTTGCCCTCAAGACTATTTCCTGTGATATCAGTAACAAAAGTTCTGACTTTAGCCATTTCAACTGAACACACAGATTTTATTTAACTATTTGAAGTGGATTACTGGAATTTAAAGCCAATTATGACACCAGAAATGCCTGTCATCACAACTACATTAATGTAATATGAGAAGCTCGGCTTCCTTTTGCTGGGAACAGAGGGGGAGGAAAAAGATGGCAAA